GTGCACTGCACAGTGCAACTTAAAGCAGACTGTATAAAACTCGATAGCAAACGAAAACAACAGGTTAACTAAATATTTTTATGTTATCTGTTCTGCTAACGTATATACGCTTAGTTACCAGATATATTTTTTTCCAATCATTGCGAAGGTCAGTCTATTTAATTTGTCCAAAGTCGTTCACTGCTTTGAACTTGAAGTTTTATACATATAACTTATTCAAACTCTTAATTAGCATACGTTACAGGCATGCTAAAATAACTGGTGGTGAAAGATGTCGCAATCCAATTCTGCAAACTGTGTATGTTTCATTAGTGACAATGGATAATTTAGATAATTACGAGTTCAGCGTTAAAATAATTGAAGATATGAGTGGATGAAGGGGTTATGTTACATTTTTTTAAAAATCTGTATTTGCATCGAATGAAGTTGTTATGTGCTTAAAAACTATATTAAACCTTAAAACACCGCTGTTGAGCTTAGTTTTAGAGATAGCAAGAGATGAAGGGGTTATGTTAATAATATTCACAATGAAAAAAAGTGGCATGGGCACTTAGCATATTTTTTAATTTAAAATTATATAAGTATATTACTTTCTTGCACGGATGAATGAGGGAAGTGCCAGAAAACACGCGCGGGCTTTGCGTTGTTCTGGATGAAGGTGTTATGTGATGTACTTGTCTCTTTCTTCCATTTCGTATCATTTTTCTTATTATATTCAAAAAAATAAGTAACACACAAATATTTTATAAAAAACAAAAGCATAACAACAGAGGTTTGCTAATTGGGATTGTGTGGTCTGTACCAAATATTGCGGAAGAAGGTGGATATTATAATCCACAAAATCAACAGTGGCTCTTCTGTTCCACTTCCAGATAGATGAGGCAGACCCAATAATCGTCCCCATGAAACGGATGAAGAGGTACGCAAAAAACTGCGTATGTCAACCTTTCCGGCGGAACAGTCTCTCATTAAGCAAACAAAAGTTATTTGTCACCACTTTTAAAAATCACTAAAATGCACGAACTTTATTTAACGATGTTTGAGAAGTTAAAATTACCGGCAAAAAATAAAATTAAGATAAGTACATAATTATAAAAAAAGTTTTCGTTGCTGAATTTAATCTCTCTTTTGGATACCCCGTGTGCAACTTATGATGCTAGAAATTCAAATGAAAGGCTGATACGTGCTTTTCATTTGAATTACCACGCTGCGATTGAAGCCATTACAACAGATTAACCCAATAAAGACAATGGATTATTATACCTCACAGTAGACTTACAACACACCATGCCAATTCCTAAAATACTGACTTCTAAGGCATTCTATTTACGCCAGATTTGGTTTTATTAACCGACTTCAAAAAGGAGGAGGTTTCTCAATTCGACCGTATATATATTTTTTATGTGTATTCGCGGATAACTTCGTCGTTTATGAACCGATTTTGATGATTTTTTTATTGTTGGAAAGGAGATATCCCAAAAGTAGTACCGTGATAAGGTAACCCAGATCTGATGATGGAATCTCAGAGAAATCGAGGGCAATCCTCAAATGTTATTAGTATTAATAATGTTTTTTAGTTTCCGGTTTGAAGCCGGTTTTTTTGTTAATATTATACGGAATTTTATTATAATCTGGGCATCCATGTTAGTGACCAGACCAAACAAAAAGCTGTGGACAGAAGATGTAGCCGATAGAAGTATTGTTGAAGATGCTAGCTCCCTACTAAGATTTGTTGCAGTGGATCCATCTTTTCGCAAAAAAAAATCATTTATTTATATGGACTCCTGTGCTGGACAGAATAAAAAATTTATCTACCAAGACATGATCATGAAGGGTTATTTTAAAGTCATTGACCACAAATTTCCCGATGTCGGTCATTCTTACCTGGACTCTGATAGAGATTTCGGTTGCATCGAAAAGATCATGCGCAAGCATAAGGCAATATATACACCTGAACAATATCGAGAGATTATATGCAAAGTATATAGAAACAATGTTAGAATCAATGTTATGACGGATCATTATCGTAAAATGAACTAGTTGTAAAATCAACTCAATTTGATAAACAGAAAAAAAAAAGACGAAAACAAGCAAAGGGTTAATTTCAGGGACGGTATTCAGTGGATAAGGGTAGAAGAACTCGGTGCCTACTTATACAAAGAAAGTTATGATGAAAACACGCCTTTTAGAAAAGTGGATATATTAAAAAAAGAGGACAAGTAGAAGACTTTTTAGTTGAACGGGTACAAAGAAAATATGGTACAATTTCTGAAGAAAAGAAAGCTAATATTAAAGAACAGATAAAATTTTTGAAACCGGAATTATGAACACTTTGTAGGTCCAGATTAACCCGACACACGTTTAATTTTTTTTGGTTTTATTACGTTAATTATGTAGTTAATTCATTCATCCTTAAATTAAGTATGAAACTTCTTTATTAGCAAGAAATGAATGAAGGAGTTATGTACATATTTTTTTTCAATAAATTCATATTCTTACACTTTAATCTTATTTTTCCACTCCATATTAGTAGGTGTCAATAATTACTATAATTTGATATAAATAGTTAGCAAATAATCAAAAATAAAAACGATTTATCTCAACAACAAGCAACAAAACTTTGATGCCAGTTTTCTCAACATTTACAAATTGTATTATATCCCCTTCATCCACTCATGTCTTCAATTGTTAAAACATTTGAACAATTTAATAATGTGCTTATCATTATCATCATAGGTCTTATCCAATCTATTCAATGTGAATTATTTTGTTATTGGTTTTGTCTGTTTTTACTGCCTTACGCGATTTGCGAATAATGTACGTGAACATTTTTTACGATGTTTGATATATGCGTCGTCATTTCTCATTGCGCTATCGCTTCACGAAAAAAGCTCTCATTATGCCAGCCCATATACTTTTCTGATATAAGCCATGCAGCAGATCCTACTATTAGGTACATGAATGCACCGATCCGACCGGAGAAGTCGGACATCCAAATAACAATAATTTATTTTCGAAATGTAGGTACTTGATTGGGTGTTAACTAATTGTTACCTAGTAAATTAATGTATAACTATAGTTACTACAGAAAGTAGTTTACAATTTATTGAAAAGCAATGATATTTTATACTACAGATACTTCTGCGTTTCGTGTGTTATAAGTGAGGTAGCAGGGGCCCACTTTATTATAAGGTGGCAGCATCTGCAACCCATGTGTTGCAAATTTCAATGGCCAGCGGTTACGGTTAACATCAGGTGAACCGCCATCTAGCTTGCCATCTTCTCCCATAAAAATATTATATTCTATTCTACTCATATTAAAGGGTGTGCAAATATGACATGATCGCTGTGACATCAAGGTTATCAACGAGTAATAAAAAGATCAGGTTTTTTTTGGCTAGATCCACCACTGTATTTACATATCCACCGGGCTTGAAGTGGCCGGGTGACTTAGCTCGAGGGCTCGAGGGCTCGAGGGCTAGCGTAAAGACAATAATTACTCTCATAATTTTTCCAAACGCGCCAAAACTGTAACCTCAAAAATGTCAAAAAGTTTCGCACTAAATTAGAATTGTTAAACGTGAACTTTGAGATATACGTTTCCATAATTGTTAAAAACCTTGACAAGTTTCCACTTCGGCAGGTTACTTCACAAAACAGAGCACAAAAACGTGTCTGCGTCGCGCGAGACGCCTACTCTGTGTTAATAAAACTTGTCAAGGACAGGCTGGCGTTGTTTGCGAACGGCGAACGGACCAATAGCAGTAGGCACCGTCGCGCCGGCTACGGACCAACGTAATACTGTAATACATTCAATTCGATTTCATTCTGTCCCTCCAATTCATACCAATAGCTGTGTCGCTCCGTTCGTGAGTGTTTTGGAATTTTCAAACTTCTAAGCAATGTGAGTGTTTGATTGTTTTAGTCTGTGTTGGCAGTGTATATTTAAATATTTTATTGATATCATGTGCATGTTTAAATAACTATCAATGTGAATGAGTCAAACTCGTAGTTTTCTTTTGTCCAATTTTTTTCATCGTAATGTTTTAATGGCTAAAGACCGGTTTCCATATTCCATCTATTTGTAGATTTCGTTACTGGAGATAGAATTTTGACGTAAGTATTATTGAGATAATGTCAAATACCTATCGCCAATAACCAAATGAACAGTATAGATAGAATACTGATGTAGCATTATAACGGATTGATATATTTAGATTATAGACCTAAACGTGGATTATTTTTATATTCACAAATACACATACTTAATCTGAAGGGTACACATAAATTGCAAAGCTTTAGAAAAAAAATAAGGCTATTTTTTTAATTGCACGAATAAAACGTAAATAATTCAAATTTGTAATAATAAAATATTCTGCAGATTACAGGTAAACAAATTAAAATGAAGGTTCAAATATTATATTGTGTAATGTATATAAACATATAATGAATGTAAATATACATATAATATGTACGTATGTACAGGGCCGGATTAACAACCGGGGCTACAGCAACTAGACAGATTATATTTATAAGTTCGTTAAATAAGAAAAGAATCTATACATGGTTTCACAATAAATTATTTTTTTGAAAACTCGACTGAAAAAATGTGTCCATTTTATTTGGAAAATAATTTGGGGCCAAGGGGCCTCCACCCCTTAGTTGCCCCAAGGCCTCCAGACCTCTTAATCCGGCCCTGCGTATGTTATTACGAATACTGTGATCCAATTTCTAAGTTCAGAATAATTAAATTCAGAGAGTAAACCGAAACTACTCTCATAAAAGTTAATCTTTGGTGCGACATAGGTTAACGGCTAAGCTTAGATGGTGTGTTTTTACATTTATTTGAATTCTTCAACCAACAACCTATTGTCGTTGCGTAATGGTTTAAATCAAAGAAGGAACACATAAGTTGAGTCATAAAAACATTAATTACAACCAAAATACCATGCGATTTAATTTTGGGAAAAGATGGCTTATTGAGTTCCCCTTGCAGAACAATGCCGAAGGTGACACTCACCTACTTCAACGTAAAGGGGCTCGGCGAAGGCATCCGGATGCTGTTGGCTTATGGCGGTCAGGAGTTCGAAGACATACGAGTGACCAAGGATGATTGGCCCGCATTGAAACCGAGTTCGTAACACACAGCATTAAGATATAAAGCAACCGACGCTAATGAATATCCACTCATAGCTCCCAGGAGTTAATTAGTAGACATAAAATGTCATTTATTTTTAATGTACCTCTAAATTCTTAAAATAAAACTGCACCATTTAAAACTTCTCCCTAAAGCTCTTTAGTAATATTTATTTCCACTTGGTTCTACACCTTTTGAAAACAAGATAAACGATTTATAAATTGTGGATATTGATATATTTTGAAAGAGTTGGCGCCTGTCAAAACTTACCTTTTCCTAAATCCATCTGTTCGAATGTAAAAACGTATTTGTATTTAAAAGAAGTAAAACTGGAGGAACGATCGGCGTGAATTTTCGACCGACTTCAAAAGGGGGAGGAGGTTTTATGTTTGTTACCTCAGAACTCTTGACTAAGGGAATCGACTTTGATGATTCTTGTTTTATTTTTCAAATTGCTTCCCACGTGGTCCCAAATTAATTTCATTGTTATTGGATCTTGGGCTCCGGAGGTACTTAGGGAACTCTTTTTTTTCTCTTGTAGAAACGCCGTTCGGACAGCTGCCAGTGCTGGAGATTGATGGGAAGCAATACGCCCAGTGCGTGGCCATCTGCCGCTACCTCGGCCGCAAGTACGGGCTGGCCGGTGCGGACATCGAAGAGGACTTGGTCATCGATCAGAACATGGACTTCTACACTGACATTCGCCTTAGTGAGTGATACGACCTTAGACATTACACCACTAACACAGCAAGACGCAAGTCACCAGATATTCAGAATTGCTGTTGCTATATACCTAAGCTATGTCAAGTAGTGGATTGTTACAGCCTGAAACGATGATGTCATTTGGTCTGATTATGGATTTATTAGACATGATAAAAAACTTATCGTGTTTGCTAGAGCCCATAACCGGAACCATGTTGGTTTAATCGGCTTTATTTATTTTATTTTAGATAGTGTGCGCGTGTCTTTATCGAACTTTTTGAGATTTTTTCTTGAGTATAATTTAAATATGTACATTATGTTAAGTTCTTGCGTTCTCCTACCTCTAATTATTAAATGCTACTGACCAAGACTTAAAAAAGTATTACACTATCAATTATTGGACCAGTCACTGCTAATACGAAACTGAACTCGGCTGCTAAGTATTTTCTGCATATTTCTTTTTATCGACAACAGATTTATGAACAGGACATAGTAGCGTAGTAACCAATTCCAGAGGCGGCCTCGGCGCACTATGAACAAGACGAGAAGATAAAAGCGGCCAAGCACGAAGACTTCTCAAAGAACCTCTACCCGATCGTGCTGTCCAAACTGGATCAAATAATCAAGGAGAACAACGGGTACTTGGCAGCAGGAAAGGTAAACCTACGTTGAAATAAATAACTTCACATTACATTGACTTAGGATGATCCTGCTCCGATAAACGTTTTCCCGTAGATATAAAAAACCGGCCAAGTGCGAGTCGGACTCGCGCACGAAGCGTTCCGTACCATTATATTATACTAGCTGCTGCCCGCGACTACGTCTGCGTAGAATAGGCTGAAGGCGTAACATTCAGGCAGGAAGCCAGACATACATAAAATGTGTACATAAATTATAGCCAATGTCTTATTCTGATCTATGGTTTAATGAAACTTTACCATAATATAGCTTCATATCTCCAGACGGACGTGAAGCTATCACTATCATCGCATGGCATACGTTTATTCTTCTATAAATATCTTTTTGGAACAGATTTCAAAGATCACTGTTCATCCAGAGATATCATTGGCCATTCATTTTTTTTTAAAGAAAAACGTGCGTGTTGTAGGGACGTTATACAAACAAATTTCAAGTGGACAAACACCCAGATGCGAGACATCTATCTGTTGGTCACACCAATAGTTATCCCGTGTGGGGATAGAACCCACAACCCCTGACGCCGAAGCCAATACGTTAGTAACTGCGCCACGGAGTCATCAAATTGTGATTGTAATAATATACGAGTAGATAGCTACAATACTTCCAGGGATTTTGACGTTGTTTTGTTTTTTTACGTGGGAAAAATCTTTTATGGATCCCCCGCCGCTTTGTGGGTAGGCAGCAATGTTTTGTTACTTTACGGCGGTAGGCCACGCAGCAGCCTCACCTGTTGCACGAATGGGCAGGCTCGTCCAGGTAAGTACCACGACCTCGCAGAAGACCGGCGTAAAGTGGAAGTATAATACTTTCGCGTTTCGTCTGGTGAGTGAGGTGGCCGGAGCCCAATTTGCAAAAGGTTTTCAACGCATCTGCAACCCTCGGGTGTAGCGGATGTCCATGGGCGACGGTATTCACTTAACATCAGGTGAACCGTCGGCTCGCTTGGCAACTTTCACATTAAAAAAAACTAACCTAACTAACCTAACCTTTAACAGTTGACCTGGGCAGACTTCCTCTTCGCCGGGATGTACGACTCGCTGAAATCGATGACGCAGACACATGACATGGAAGAAAAGTATCCCAGCTTCAAGAAGCTAAGGGACACGGTCACCTCCCTGCCCAAAGTGAAGGCGTACTTAGACGCCGCACCCAAACCTGACTACTAGACTAAATGTTTAACTTTATATATATTATTTTTTAAATAAAATATACTTTTTTTGTATTTTACATGCGTCACTAAGCTTCGTATGGTTATGTTTTATAAATACATATAGACTAAAAGTTTACCGTTTGTTTTTTTCACCCTTCTGATTAGTCCATAACCACTATTATTTGAACTGTATTGATTTTTTCAGAGAGAAGGATAAGATCGCTGCGAAGACACGCTTTTTTAACGCGCCCTTTAGCCGAGATTAACTTTATAATTAGTTAATATAATAAATTTACACCGAGTATCCATTTGAGCTCTGAGACGTAGAATGTACTATAAGGTTTTTTTTTGTAACGACTTAATGTGCCTTTTATTGCGGAATATGTTATTACCTGTGACGTAACAACCTCGCATACTAGGTCTCTAGCCCTAAGAAAATGTCTTTAATAAAATCACGTGATTCGCAATTCAATTCAATCCTTTCTCCGCTACAGTTAGCGTTAAAATAGGAATCCACCAGAGGCCGAGTTTTAATTCTCCTTGCAGCTGCACTAACCATCGAAAACGGCTTGAGTTTTATATTAAACTAGCGACCAACCCCGGTTTCGCACGGGTCCAATGTCGTAAACATATAAATTTTCCTCTTGAATCACTCGTATGTAGTAAAAAAAAACGGATCAGTATCCGTTGCGTAGTTTTAAAAGTCTTAGCATAGCATATGGACAGACAGACAGCGGGACGACTTTGTTTTATACTATGTAGTATGTAGTGATGTCAAGAAGCCCATATGCTCGACTATAGCAAAATATGTTCAATAATAAAGTTTAAGACTTATTGTTACGGCCGCTACATGTCGCTTGAGGAGTTTGTTTCGTGAGGCAGTTTCTGCTCGGTTCGGCTATTCTGCAATGGACGGGGTTTGAGCCAGAAGTTTGCGCTAGCAAATCAAACACCAAATGCAATCGATGTTTAATTCTTGTGACAAAATCATAGACAAGGCCCAGAAATAAAAATGCATTCATAGCAATATGTAAAGATATTTAATTTGAATTGAAAAACCAGCAATCTTAAAATGCATCACGATACACGTGCTTGCGCTTTACATTGTGCGTTCGTATAATTTGTACGGTTTATACATGCGTTCCCATTTTTAAAAATACGTGGGAAGTCTCTCAAAGAATAATAGGCACGAAGGGACTCGTGTAGTGTGGAAATTCTAATTTCCCGTATACCGGTTATAATACTCTTATGGTGACCCTTCGCATAACTTTTCGTATTCGTGTAGAGTTTATGTTTGACAAATCGCTAAGGCACGACGAGGGTAAAACCCGCAGTCTTCGCTCAGATATTGAGCACTGGCTTCGGCGTGTTGGCGCAGAACTCCTTGACCTTGGGCAGGGAAAGGACGTTGTCTTTGAGTTCCCTGAAGCTTGGATACTTCTCCTCCAAGTCGGGCATTTGCAGCATCGTCTTCAAGTAGTCGAACATGCCGGTGAAAGCGAAATCGGCCCACGTGAGCTGAAACGGAAAGCGATCCTCGAGATCTGAAAAAAAGGCTTCTATCCCTACGCTGGTCTGAAATTCGCACTGTCCACAGATCCGCAGCTATAGAATTGGGTTGAGGTCATCTGAAAATGTACATGGCAAATCTACACGGAATACCGGATGACAATAAATTACGTTTGATTGGGCCAATCTACATTACGGCATTGAAATGTAATTTGGCAGTTTGGATCGGTCAAACTCAAGGGCATGCATTTGAGCCGGTCTTACATTCGTAGAGCAAGAACCACAAGTATATAATACTCAGTGACATTCTCAACAGCGCAGAATTCCTATTTCCAGAATCGACAGAAATCTCACGGATGTCTTCTATGGTCATCTAGATGTCATCTATTTCCTAGTCCAGTTCTTATACTATACCTCAATCTCTTTGATGACTACAAGAAGCTCGAAATTTCATGAAATACCTTTCCCAGGGCGAGATGTCCGTTGTTCTGCTTAATCAGCTCGTCGAGTTTATTCAGCAGGAAGGGATACTGGTTCTTAGCGAAGTCCTCTTGCTTCTTCGCTTTCGCCGCCTCATCCGCTTCGTACCACACCGTCGCGGCCTCTGAAATGGAATTTTTTCTCCATCTAAAGAGGACTTTCTCCTCAATTAAAGGGAAATCATTACGCCCGCACAAGGGCATTAGTAAGATTAGATGGTGTGACAAATGCGCGACTTCTTACTGCTACTATAAGTTTAATTCTGCTTTGGTCTTTAACTGGTATTTTCTCAGGCCGGACTACCCACATGTGCAACTGCAGAAGTTATATCATGTAGGGAGGAAATAAATCATATAGATTTTCATGAATGCACAATAGAATTGGGCACTAAGGGGAATTATAACTCTCCTTGTAAATCTCTGTTTGCAATCGTTCACTCTCCGCTTTCATTCAGCACTTACTAACACGGATGTCGTTCACGAAGTCGTAGCTCTGGTCGATGAGCAGGTCCTCCTCTAAATTGGCGCCGGCGAGGCCGTACTTGTGGCCGAGGTAACGGCATATGGCGCCACTCTGCGCATACCTCTTGCCGCCCATATCGAGCATTGGCAGCTGCCCAAATGGGGTCTCTGCGGACAAGGTTTAACGTCATCTTCTCAACCCCAGCATGTCCTTACATGGGCATAGTTAAATGGCCAACGATGGTCACGTAGCAAATGTGATGTGAGATTACAGACTCAAAGTTCAGTGGCATGCACCAAGGAATTCTGTGTATTTCAATGCGCATGAATTAATTTTGCACTACTAGATGTTTCTTGAAATATACAAGCGTAAGACATTATGGTTACTTTTCCTCTTCTAAAAGTGTTCGACTCAAATGGTGCGTACGAGTTTGTCGAGCATATTAAGTGAGAACAACTATCACTGGTCGTTCAATACTTTCACCGTTCCGGCCGTACAAATGTGAAATCGGAGGTCCATGGAATTTAGTTTTATCTTAGACGATCACACTCGAACACGGTTTTTGTCAGTGATGTTCTTACTTACACAATTTACACATTGTCGTAATCTTTCAAATAGTCTCTATCAAACAATGTCACTGTGGTGTGTTTGCAATGACGGTCTCCAACAATTAAACAAGGCTGATATTAGGATTTAGGTTGGCAATGGTACGATATAATAATTTTTAACAAAATAAAAACCGACTTCAAACCGGAGACTAAAAAACATAATCAAAACCTATAACATTTGAGGATTGCCCTCGATTTCTCTGGGATGTCATCGTCAGAGCCTTTCCTTATCATGGTACCACCCTTGCGATATCTCCTTTCCAACAATAATCATCAAAATCGGTTCATAAACGAAGAAGTTATCCGCGAACACAAATAAAATATATACATACGGTCGAATTGAGAAACCTCCTCCTTTTTTGAAGTCGGTTAAAAATTAATAGAGGCGGCCTATGGTCGGTTAACGCAATTCTACACACCTACGCCTCTATTTCAACTTACTAACAACGTCCCCTCGTTGAGCCGTCGCTAGGACGATTTGTCATTTCAGAATATTACTGAAAACGTCACTACAATGCGATATAATAGTGCCGTTTATTTATCACATGATTAAATAAAAACCGGTCAAGTACACCGAGGGTTCCGTACATACTCATTATATCACATACAATTTTTTTTGTTCTTGTTTTCTATACATATTATTTTTAATGTTTTACCTGTTTTCTGTCTTCTGTCTGTCTGTCTAAACCACTGTCTGACCCACAAAAAGCAACATGATGACGACGGTATTACCAAGACAACGATGAACAATTTATCAGTTGCATTAATTTAATGACTTATTCACAAACGAAGAGTACTGGCAGTGGAGATAAAAATTTTAATTATTTTTCTTTTGTTACGCAAAAGAAGGATAACTTCTTACTAGCGTCCGTGTTATGTTCTTCTGTTTTAGATTAGCTAGAAACAAATAAGCTATGAGTACGACAAGTACTATTGTGAATGCTATGACTACCTGTAATTGAAATTATGGTTTTCTTTTTTTTAATGTGGAAAGTTGCCAATTGGAGTGAATACCGCCGCCCATGGACATTTGCTACACCCGAGGGTTCCAGTCGCGTTGACAACTTTTGGAAAATTGGGCTCCGGCCACCTCACTCACCAGACGAAACGCGAAAGTATTATACTTCCACTTTACGACGGTCTTCTGTGAGGTCGTGGTACTTACCCGGACGAGCCTACCCATTCGTGCAACAGCCGAGGCTGCTGCGTGGCCTTACCACCGTAAGTTTTTACCACAGTTTTTACTTTTTTTCGATTCCAGATCATTGCTTTCTTTGTTTTTGGTCCATCTAGATGATTTTGTTATTTTTTCCCTTTTTTTTTAGTTCTTTCTTTTGTGAAAAACACCCGTTCATATTTTCTTATTATTACGTCGGTAAGATCGACAAATATTATGCATATTTCATTTCAGTAATTTGTATTTAAATGTAATTTCGAAAATACACGATTTACCAAAAAAAAAACAAACCTCCAGAGGTCCTCCAGATCCAAATGTTAGAAAGCAGCAATAAATATAAGATCAGAACAATTTACATATAAGTCGAAGCGCCTCAATAAACTTGTATCGATTTGATTTTCACCCGTACTTATTATTGTGTACCATTGACTTGAATTTTCAGAATGAACTGTTGATCAAGGTCACTTATTCAGTTGAATATTACGAGCACTAAACGGGGCGCGGATTAGCTTTACGGTTACAAAATCCAAACTGTATAATGTAGCATACAAAACGGGTATGCTATAAAAAGTACACTGTTTCTGAATTAGCTATAAAAAAATAGCTATAATTATATGGTAGTCAAACGCGCAAAGATACATTTCTTACTTAGAAAAAATATTGATACAAAGACATATTGATATATTTATTATTTTCGCGTACCATACATATTTTTACAGTATGCAGATCTGAAATACATTGGAATATGTAAAGGTACTACTAACTACATATTATTATTGTTACCCTGTTTAAAATTTACAACTGTTTTTTTTTTTTAATACGAAACCTGTTGTCGTAATGGGTTGCTTAATTTCGAATGCCATTAATTATTAAGACACATATACCGTGATACATTATCAGGTCTTGTTTGTAAAGCAATTGTAATAAAATTTATTCGAGATAAATTCAAAGCACTTCCTATCATAATGGCATGTGGAATTAACAATCCAAAGTTGTATCAGGGCCACACAACAGCTTTGGCTGTTGCACGAATGGGCAGGTCCATCCGGGTTTACCATGACCATGACCACACAGAAGGCCGGCGTGAAGCGAAAATGTACTCCTGCGTATAATCTGGTGAGTGAAGTAGCCAGGCTCCAGTTTATTAGAAGGCAGTAATGCCTCAGCAACCCTACTGGTGTTGCAAATGTCATTCATAATTCTGTTAAGAAATCAAATGACTAAAAGAAATAATTATTTCCTATGCAATATTTACATGTTACATAAAGAAAATGTAACTCAAATAAACCTGACTTCAAGTATCGGACTTACTATGCACTTTTATTTGATTTTGAGGACTCCCCTGATGCATCTCCGGAGTCCAAGTTAAAATATCAATAAAATTAATGTAGGACACATGGAAGCTAAATTGAACCCAATGCTAAAAATATTTTTAATTGGGTCCATACATGAAGGAATTACGAGTAGAACATAAAAAAACATACATTAGAATTCAGAACTAATATAGAAATGTCTGCCCATGTATTAGATATTATATTGTGCAATGATATCTTTAATGTATGTCAATTGATTGTGATACTGTTATCATTATAAAAACCTTATTAAGAAATATGTTTTCATTTCATTATTACTCAGACAGAAATAAACACAGTTGCTATGCAACAATTTCTTTGACTAAAATGATAACACAAAACAATTACAAATAAGATATTTATGAAATATACACTTTCTTTCTAACTTTATGGAAGTTTAAGAAATCAGTACAGCATGTTTAAAAGACTTCAAGAAAATGTTTATTATAAATAGAACCAGAATACTCACTTGGTTTCAATTCTGGCCAATCTTCCTGACTAACACGGTGATCTTCAAATTCTTCACCTCCATAGGCTAGCAACAACCGAACCCCCTCGCCCAGAGCTTTTAGGTTAAAATAGTAGAACACTGTCTTTTCCATTGTTCTGTTATAAACATCATAGAAACATTATAAAATACAAATTTGTCTTCTATGAGACTGAGATTAAATAAATATTTTGGTAAATTTTCCAGAGGACACCTGGGCGATTATTTTCGATACGACTTACATCAATCTTTTATTACTACTTTTATTAACAAAATTAGTAATCATATCCAAAAATAAAACATGAAAGCAAATCTTAATTTTATAATATTAGAGACTAGTGGGTTAAAGCTTTGATTAGAGTATAATTAAAAGTTAAATAAAGGGAAATTCGATTAGATGTCAAAATGTGTTTAAGTTTGGTCTGATGAAGAAAAAGACGTAATTAGCGTCTCGCGTGAATTTAAATATACAATTATTTAAATTACTGTCTTAAAAATAGTTACATTTAATTACCAGCGCTTCTGAAAAACTGCTCTAATAATACTTCAGTTCAAAACACACAACAACGCGTCCACTTCGCTTCTTTCCCTATATCCAAAAATCCAAAGTACTCTGCTGTGCACTTCGCGTCACGGTGCAGAGAGGATGTAAATGTATGTCTATGTAATGAATGTATCAGCGTGACCAGATTTCATTTGACGAATCTACTGCTTTTCGAGGATAAAACTACTGATTTCAACCAAAAGAGAACGAGAAAATTCTAAAAATCTAGTGTATTTTTTGCTGTCGTGATAAAACCTAAAAATAAGAATTTTCTTGATTAAACGATAAAGACATGGAAGCTCACAAAAGATACAGTGCACAGAATGCGAGTCGCACAGCGAGCTATGGAACGTTCCATTCTAAGCATCAGGTTAAGAGATCGCATCCGCAATACCGAAATCCATCGTAGGACGAAGGTCTGTGACGTAGGTGAACGGATAGTGATAGCAGGTGGACTAAAACGATAACCGAATGGACACCTCGAGAAGGAAGGCGTGGTGTCGGCAGACCACCTGCCCGATGGGTCGACGATATCAAAGCGATCGCAGGAAAAACATAGATGCGAAATGCTCAAGACAGGGAAGAATGGCGCAAGAGGGAGGAAGCCTATGCCCAGCAGTGGGCTGAACGGGCTGACGATGATGATGATGGTGAAACGATAAAGAACAAAAATAACAAAGAAACCACCATTAGCAAAGAAACCAATGTTTTTTAAAAGTTAAATTCTAAATAAAAATATAATTAAAAAAATAAAATTAAACTTAAAGTTCAGATTCTTCGTCTTTATGTCGGGTAACATTGTCATAAAGCTGTTTTGAGTCCATATGACCATACTTGTCAGATTTTTAATTTTATGAATTTGAATTTTTTGAAAATAATAGTAGTACTTGAAAATAATATTTTGTTACATCGATATTTTTCGCTCGATAATTATCGATATTTTTTTAACGCCGATACGATATATATCGATATATTTTTAATACTTGCCCATCCCTAATTTTAGCTAGCTCAGCTATAACCTAGGTATTCACTCCTGCCTTAGAGACTCCGTTGTAATCGGACGAAAAGACGGACGCCGGCACGTTTTATGGAATGGATCCAATGGAATGGATGATGAATAACGAAGCGAATCGCTTTGTTCTTATGCGTGGAACATCGACAACATAAAGGTGGAGCCTCACCGAACGCCTAGTTGTTAAATAAAAGCAATGCTTGGTGCATCCATTGTTATATCCTTTCCAGCATACAAACAGTTTAGAAAATCGTTTTACATCGATAATTCGAGAGAGAGACGTCGTCACTGCTTTTTAGAAATTTAATTTTTTATAGTGCTAATCTCTTAAGATTTTAGTCGATGTGGCAATGAGCCGTTTAGCTTAGTGGCTAAAGCGTCAGGCCTCGATGCTGAAAACGTGGGTTCGATTGCCACAGCAGCGAAAAATTTTTCGTACTTTACCTACAAAATTAGGAGGATGACGTCTTAAAAATCAAAGATCCGTCTTGACAGTTTGGAATGACCTAAGTGATTTTATTTTTAAACATTAGTGCATGGTGAAAGAAGGTTCGTATTTGGCATAGACTTCAGACCTAGAAAAAGATTAAACAAAAATACCCTATAATAAAATAAATAAAACGAATGTACCAAACCAAATAAAAAAACGCGATAATACGAAAATACTCTCATGTTCACTGTTTGTATGTAACCTTATTTTGATACTTTTTCGTGACGTTCGTGTGACGTCATCAGCCCATACAATAAACCTGCGGAAGACAATTTTAAAAACGTAAAATAATAACTGTTTGCGTAACAATCTTTTCGTTTTGAGTGTTTTTAAATGTTAATAATGAACTTTTTTTACAATTACTAGGAATATTTTACTACAATATATAATATATAAGACAATTTTAATTATGAAAACCGGCACAATGGTAGATTTTTAAGTGTTCATTTTATCACCCGAAATAATATTCTTTTAGACTTTGGATTCATATAATTTGATGTAATCATGAAAGAAATATTCATGAGGATTATTTCAATGTATAATACTAATACACTGCGTTTATAAATAAATCAATACTTACATTGTAAATGCGGACCCCACAACCACTTGAAATAACTTCGAACAGTTTTTGTAAACAATTTTTTTTAAGGGTAGCTGTCGCCGTTTATTATGTTCTACCCACCAAAAGACGCGTTTTTTAATCAGGAACCATCTTTTTTAGCGATATTGAACCACTACGACAATTCTATGGAGAAAATTACTTTTAAAGTTAACAAAGTGGTTGGGCTGCCATAGTCGCCCTAACGTTTGACGCTATGTAAAATTTGGGCTGTCGTAGTCGCCCTAACGTTTCAGCGGACTTAGACTTTATTTTACATTACTCAATAGGATAACGTTGAAACGAACATTACTTCCGTCAAATACTTCCACACTTCCATCATTGTGAGTAGAGGCATCTGGCATTGCTGGCATATCAATCCAATTTAGCTGTCTATGGTAACTATTCCCTTCCGCTTTTAGAATAAGTAGATGCCTCAATGGTAAGCTCCTAAACCTTACAATGAATAGACCGTTACGGTAAATTGGATTAAAAAATTCACCACTTACATGTTAGTGGTTTAAATAAAAATTAATATTTTTTGTAATGCTCTCACTTGCTATATCAATCGTGGGTACTTTAAAAAATAACTTAAAATCTAATAATTTGGTCTATAAATGTTCTTACACCGCAATAAATAAAGTATTCTATTATTCTTTTTTTTGTTTTGTAAGTGATGTTGTCTTTTTAAGCTTATATCACTTCATTACGTAATGGAGTAGCGGAAGAATTTGTTGCTTTTAAATTAGATATGGGTTACTTCAAGTTCATTTGTTTGTTTACATATTTCTGTAGAGTAAAAAATAAATAAATTCTATCTTATTCTTTTATAATCTGTGCATATTTTGCAATAATATTATCGATTTTTTTTATTTTATATATGTTTGCTATCGAGAATCACTAATAAGATAATGAACGTCGCGTGTCGGTATCGAATGGTATTAATTATGTAAATAAGTATTTATCAATAAAAGATATATTATTAAATGATATATTATTAGATGATGATATGTGGAACCTTGGTTTCTGACGTCTAGACAGATTGGGGTTCGGCCACACAGAGAGTACCTTTTTATTTCGAATGTAATTGAATTGATTATTTTAAATCTTCGTATTGTTAGGAAACAATAACATAACTTAGTTCATTACCCGACTGCGCCAGAAGGAGAGTTGTTTTTCGAGAGGTTGTAAATATGTATGTATGTATAATTATTTGGCACTCTCTACAGACTCAACGGCTTGATGGATTTTAGCCTTGAGAGGAGAGGTGTCGTTAGATTAGTATTTACTGAGAGAGTTACACTGAGTATATCAAATTACGCAGAAACGCAGTCGGTTTTTATAGTTTTTTAAATTATATTCTACTTGTTTACTCATATGAATCGTATCAATAAAAATGCAATGGATTGATTTATCTGTTTTGATTTTTCTCCATATCATACTACGTCTTTTAATCGCACGATATCAAACATACATGTAACAGATTAATAAGTTCGATTAATAAGTCGCAAACAATAAAAAACAAGATAAAAAAAATATTCAAGTGGGGCTCCCATATAGCATTAAAAAATCGCGCTTTACTCATTTGAAGAGTGGCAAGTGAGTAAGCGTTTCAATCCAAAAACGGCAATGCAAAAAGGTGAGCACCAGCTACTACTTCCACTTCACGCTGATCTTCTGTGAGGCCGTGTTTCTCCCCCGGATGAACCTGACCATCCGTGCAACGTCAGAAGCTGCGAAAGTTTTGACAGACAGTGGAGTAACAGACAGCTAAAACTTTTAATGTATTATATACCTTTCTTTTTACAAACGGAGAATAAGGCGAAAGATAAAATTTTTGAAAAGATTTTTGTCTTGTTACGCGAAAGAAGTATAACTTTTTGTTCTCTATTATTTGTTTAAATAAACCTTTATTATTATTATTATTTTAACACGTGCATAAATAAGTACACACACACTTTTATTATTATATTTATAAATATATTTCATCTTACATTGAGATGATCATATATGAGAGAAGTTCAGAAATAATTTGTTATTTGCTACCACTGAAAAGATGGAAATCTTCGGTCACTCTTAGTACTATTCAACCAAACGCTGTCAAGTTTTACAAAAGAATGGATCAGCGAATGTGAATGATGCTAGGAGCCAGTCTATATAATAGTTCGTTCAGTAATTTCTCTGAGTCAGTAGGTTATGTCAGACACTAATGGTTTAACCGCTCTCTACATCTGGTGATCAATCGTGCCTGTTGTGCGCATTGATACATATAAATACCGACATTATAGTATGTGTATTGTGAAGATACATGTATCTTCGTCTGTCTCTATACCGTCTTACTCCCCAAGTTCGATTCCAATTTGTTTTTGTTGTCCATTAGAACTCGCTCTTGATTCGAACTCGATTTGAAAAGCTTACTCCCGAACCGAATCAAAACTAGAAACAAGATCGTGCGTTATCGAATTCGTTAACAGTATCCGGCCTATTACGTCAACGATTAATGTTACATGTTTACGTTAACATCTCTCTTGGATAAAATTTCAATTGTTTAATTTTTTTTCGAAAAATAATTCGATCTCAGTTAGTTCCGATTAGAGCCAATACTCGACTGTGCGTGGTACGAACTTCCATGAATTCGAGTCCAATTCGATCGATTCAGAACTCGAATTTGTCAGGAGTAGGCCTGATCAATTTAGAGAGTTTAACCATCCTTTTGGCAAGTCAAATGACATTTGAAAAGCCATTTGTCAGCCAGATTTAAAGGTCTGGAGGCCCCTTGGCCGCAAACTATTTTCTATTAATTTCTGCTTGAATGTTATGATTGATTTTTTCTGTTTGAATATTATAATTGAGTTATCATTGAATGTTATCATGCTTGTACTAAGTAGTGCAGGTAAAAGTAAAATTTTTTTTACCGAAGTCTCTACTGTGCCTAAATTTATGTATAATTATGTAAAGTGACGTGTAGCAAGGCAGTCCCCAGTCAACGCTGGCAATAAACAGACGTGTCCATAGAGTCACTTTGTATACTTGGACGTGTCATATGTAGTTTTATTAGTCAACCAACGGCGCACACCCTCCCCTAAATTCGGGCCTGCTACGATGATCAGTGTTTCAGAAGGCGGGCGTGGGTGCATGAAAGTAACCTTATTCAAATCCCTAAAATATTTCTACGATAACTTGACAAAGCTAGAGCTAGATTAATAAGGCATTCGTGGCATCGCCCTCAACCTCATTGTCTCTTATCTTAGTAATAGAATTCAAAAAGTATCTATAAATGTTAATTTTGTTGGGTCCCTGATAAAATGGGTGTCCCACAAGGATCAATCTTGGACCCATTATTATTTTTAGTATATATTAATGATCTTAATATACTCACTGTTACTTATCAATACATTTATTGTAATATTTTGTATATACGTCATAACCTTAATTATTACCTAATAGTGACAGACATAAAATAAACACTAGAAATAAGCCATTGTTTCGTCTACAAAGAGTAAATAGGTGGGGTACATTCATGGGGCAAAGTGTGAGCATGTATAATAAAATCTCACAGTCGATATTAAGTCAGCCACTTGATTAATTTAAACGTAAAACTAAAAGTCAATTTATGGTTAACGCATATTATACCATTACAGAATATCTCGACGACGCCAATCTGTGGAATTAATACTGTTGATAAAAGACACTCACGAAGGCTAGCATAAGACTATTATACCTGTATGTTAATATTGTAAACTGATACTTTTGAAAAAGAGCAACTGTTAAGTTTCTTGCCGGTCTCTTCTCAACAGAAACTGCATTCTGAACCTGTGGTACATTACGAACCTAACATAATTTTTGATGTAAAATTTGACGGTTGATAAGAACGCGCAAGCGTCAAATATATTTTTGATTTTGAAAGGTCTAAGCGTTTCAGCAGCGACGCTAACACCAAAGATAATGTAATGACTACGTTTAAGATCGTTGTTGATCGAAGTTGGCGAACACCATCCCTCGTTTAAGATCTAATCAACAATTATATATGTAAATATATAATTAACAATTGTATTATGAACACTTAGCTTTAATAGTTAGCCTGGCTTGTTGACCTGGGTAGACTTCGTGTTCGCCGGGTTATACGACACGCTGAAAGTCATAATGCAGACGCCAGACCTGGACGAAAAGTATCCAAGTTTCAAGATCCTAACAGATACTGTCATTACCTACCCAAAGTATTCGCTGGGCTATACGACACGCTGAAAGTCATAATGCAGATGCCAGACCTGGACGAAAAGTATCGAAGTTTCAAGTTCCTAACAGATACTGTCATTTCCTTCCCAAAGTATTCGCTGGGTTATACGACACGCTGAAAGTCATAATGCAGACGCCAGACCTGGACGAAAAGTATCCAAGTTTCAAGATCCTAACAGATACTGTCATTACCTACCCAAAGTATTCGCTGGGCTATACGACACGCTGAAAGTCATAATGCAGATGCCAGACCTGGACGAAAAGTATCGAAGTTTCAAGTTCCTAACAGATACTGTCATTTCCTTCCCAAAGTATTCGCTGGGTTATACGACACGCTGAAAGTCATAATGCAGACGCCAGACCTGGACGAAAAGTATCCAAGTTTCAAGATCCTAACAGATACTGTCATTACCTACCCAAAGTATTCGCTGGGCTATACGACACGCTGAAAGTCATAATGCAGATGCCAGACCTGGACGAAAAGTATCGAAGTTTCAAGTTCCTAACAGATACTGTCATTTCCTTCCCAAAGTATTCGCTGGGTTATACGACACGCTGAAAGTCATAATGCAGATGCCAGACCTGGACGAAAAGTATCCAAGTTTCAAGATCCTAACAGACACTGTCATATCCCTTCCCAAAGAGTTAACCGGGTTATAAGACACGCTGAAAGTTATAATGCAGATGCCAGACCTGGACGAAAAGTATCGAAGTTTCAAGTTCCTAACAGATACTGTCATTACCTACCCAAAGTATTCGCTGGGTTATACGACACGCTGAAAGTCATAATGCAGATGCCAGACCTGGACGAAAAGTATCCAAGTTTCAAGATCCTAACAGATACTGTCATTTCCTTCCCAAAGTATTCACTGGGTTATACGACACGCTGAAAGTCATAATGCAGATGCCAGACCTGGACGAAAAGTATCCAAGTTTCAAGATCCTAACAGACACTGTCATATCCCTTCCCAAAGAGTTCGCCGGGTTATAAGACACGCTGAAAGTTATAATGCAGATGCCAGACCTGGACGAAAAGTATCCAAGATTCAAGAAGCTAACAGACCCTGCCTGTCACTTATATATTCTATACTAGCTGAACCGGCAAACGTTGTTTTGGCATAATTTGCGAAAAACAAAAAAAAATTAAAAGAAAACCTATCTCATACCTACTGAATACACATAAAATTTAATCAAAATCGGTCAAGCCGTTTGGGAGGAGTATAAACACTAAAACAGTGACACAAGAATTTTCTATATTTGATTATAACGTAAAACGAAACAATTTTGATACGCCACGCAGTATGGACATTTCCATGGCACATGTGTCATCTTTATTCTGTCTCTAACAGTTTTAGTATACATGCCCGAAGTAAATTTCATACACCATAAGTATTAAATTACACTATTTCACAGATTTAAAACTGAAATGTCTGTGTGAAATAAAAAATGCTAAATTAATTCTAGAATAAAGTTCCAATCGTGTGCAACTAGCATGATTTGTTTTGTCGGGTCTTACGGAACGAAACGATAACGAAACCTCCAAAAGAGAAAATGAGTCAACAATGATAAGACTTTAATTGCTAAAAATAGCACTATCACCAACTGAACTGTGCGTCATCAATTACGATAAAGCGAGAAAAAACATTCACAGTATCATTAAACATCAAACTCAAATAGGTATTTACTGCATGTACGCAAATCAACTGATAAAACAATTTTCTCATTGATATACAAGTTCATGTATTTCAAGTTGTTGTAGAAACGTATGGAACAACAAGCTATACTTATACGAGTGTACAGGTCGCCATTACATCTAGTGGAAGGCCTATGAATAATTGTTACTTAGCTACCGTAACGCTAACTATCCTAAGGCGAACTATCTTTACCGTTAGGATAGCATTTAGGGTGGAAAATGTACTACTAACAGTGCCTGCGTAACAAATGACAATAATGAATGCTGCTACATTTTTGTTTACCAACCTGGTACCAAGACAGATTAGTAAACAAAATAGTATGGAAAAAAATTAGGCAAAACTCAAATTTAAGATATGTAACAGTGTTTATTTATAAAATGTTAGTTGGCTTCCGTTGCTTCTTTGTACTGTTCACACCAGTAATTAGGGTTCTTGTCGAAAGCCTGAAATTCAAAGTAGCTTTTGTTTAGCCAATAGTGAAAAAAACAATTTTGCATAGAATACCTTATGTATTTCTTTATACCTCAGCCATTTTCTTCAGTAGAAACATTTTAGGCACTTCCTCATTTGCCCTTGTCCCCATTCAAAAACATTTCTGGCCAATTCACCGTCTCCAACCTTTTGAAATTGTAAATTGCAGATTGAATTATTTAATTTATTATACACTAGCTGCTGCCCGCGACTACGTCTGCGTAGAATAGGATGAAGGCGTAAATTTCCGACCGAAAGACAGATATTCTTAAAAATATGTATATAAATTATAGCCTGTCTTATTCTGATATATAAGCTATATAATTGTAAAGTCTCATTAAAATCCATTCAGCAGTATTTGCGTGTAAGAGTAACAAACATCCATCCATACATACAAACTTTCACCTTTATAATATTAGTAAGGATATAACAATTTTCAATGAAGATTTGAGAATAAACCATTTTCTTTGTCTGGATCAACCACTTGGCATTGGGAGGCTTTACCAGATCCACCAGGCTGGAGGTGGCAGGGTGCTGAGGGCGCCTAGCCTGAACCTCGATTATGGTCGACCCAGCTTGCTCTCGCGAGGGCCTCGGTCTTATTATTAATACCGGTTTGGGGGTGGCGCCAAGCTCTTAGGGCGCTTTGGTGGACGATCCATGGAGTAACTAGGCTCAAGGGCCCCCGAGAAGGGACCTCGGACTGTTACTCAATACCCGTTCAACATTCCGATTCGAGGGTACCCGAGGGCCGGACCTCGAGTCGATCGGTAAGTGTAGTCTGGCTAGGAGGATTTCTAGAGCTATCACTCGGAAAGTGTTGGCGCTGGGAGAATTGACGGAAGAAACTCCAGCTCAAAGCTTCTATCATTAAAGTGGGAAACGTACCTAGCGCTCGAGGTCTATGGGCGACGGCTCTTATGACTAGCGGTTTAAGTAGGGACGTGACCTCTAATTCTACATGTAAGTCGATGTTGCGCATAAACCACAGTGATCTCGTAGCTCTGCGCATAAATCGAATCTGGATGACCCGAAGCCGGTGCCTAGGAGCGATGTGCGCGAAACGGGACTCGCGTACGTCATTATAGGGCAAACTACTGCCTTATATGTATAAAGTCACCTTGTTCCAAACGGACATTTTTGACGTTTTATTAGAGGTTAAAGGCGACCCAGTACGAAGGCCCGAGTCACATGCTGACTGAAGTTGAGCTTAGAGTCGAGAACAACACCTAGGTATTTGACTTTATTAACTCATGGTACCATACTATCCACAAGTTTAACGGTTGAGAAGAATAATCCATCTAAATAGATGCAGAGGAAGTAAGTGTCCTCTGCATCTATTTAGATGGATTGAATGGATCTATTTGGATGAACAGTGGTTGATGGACACTACTTAAGTGTATTTTATATTTCAAATTTAAATGTCACCTTTTGAATTATTATTGCATTGTCTTTCAGAAAAATTGAATTAATATTGATATACAATAAAAATATGTCAGTTCGTAATTTTGTATAAGTTTTGCAGCTGATACATTTATTTAAATTATGATCTTGTACATGACATCAGGCACCACCTACAATAGTAAATTTACCATTAAGATAACCATGAGCAGTCTTGTTGTGGCAAAGAAAAAAAACTATGTTAACGAAAAGTTATGTGAGTAAAAATCATTGTGGTGACTTGCAAAGGAAAGCAAAAAAAAGGCTTTTATTGAGATACTGCATTTACCACAAGTCATTGAATGTTGCGAGAGGAACTCATTAAACTGCTTATTTATCTGCTTGGAATAGTAGTCAAACATTAGCTGATAAATGAAAAAAGCACAATGTTTATTAATACATCTAAACATAAGCATTAACATATATAGATGCAGTTTCCAGAACAATCTCTTTTTGGTCTACTTATTAACAAAAAAAAATCAAGTATTTGGTATGTAACTATTTACCTTTGTGTACAGCAAATACATCTGCTTTGTCATTGTTGTAATAAAAGATTTACGACCAGCATAATCATTTTCTTTTAACAAATCTGCCTCAGCAAGAAATTTCCACATGTCATCTGCCAATGAGGAATTAGGTTTATTGGCTCCTGTTGACACTTGACTAACTTATTACTTACAATGATGACAACATATGCAATTTAACCTTCTTTAACTGGGCCTCCAGACATGTATATGTGGGTTAGGGCAGCAACCAGTAACCGACGTTGTTGAGAATCTACAACATTTGATGGTAGAGACTGGCATTCTTCATCAAGTACTACCATATACTGGATACCATCCTTTCCTTTCAACTGTATTAATTTGTAGCCATACACCTACAGTAATAGAAATTATGATTGTGAATGTGATTATTTTATTTATATGCACAGAATAGTAAGAATATAGACAGGAACAAACCATTTTCAAAAGTTTATTTGCTTCTAATAAAACAGTGTTCACTTTATTGGACGCAGTTTCACAAACTGTTTCAAGATGTTTCAAAATTTTTGCTCTTTTAATAGGAATTTTACTGCCTTCGCGGTAAAAAATATATCGAACACATTCCTTAATAGCACTTTCTAGTTCTGTAAGATCTTCAGGTTCAACGCTCCTATTTTGTCGTCTTTGGGACATCTTTCACATTCATAAATATTTTGGCTAATATTCCGAATAGTACGTCTCGTTTTTCAAGCTAGAAAAAAAATTTTATCGATAGAGAAATGTTAATAATTAAATATTATATAAGTTATAATCAATGAAAACCACTAGATTATGAGAAAAAAATTAACAAAGTTTTTAAATTTCATACAACTGAAATCCGTCATTACTGTGCGTCCATTATTCATTATAGACTATTATTTTAAGTTAAAAACTTACGTTCTCACTTTTTACGTTGTAAGAAGACGGATATATCACAAAAACACAAGTTTCTACTTCATGAACATGTATTATTAACAATTTCTAATATTTAAAATTTGTGACCCTAATATTCGAGACATTAAGTGTACCATAAACACTTAATGTCTCGAATATTAGGTTCAAAATGAGTCACAGATCCGACACAGAGCGATCCGACTCGGATAGGTTACAAAGAGAATGTAATCACTACGTTTAAGAGACGGGACTTCCATACTAGCCAAAAATATCAGTTTACGCGGCACTCCAATACCAACCATACCACAAAAATACCATAAAGATGTCAAACAACAGGAGTACCAACGTAACGAGACAAATAGTGCTTAACCAAGCTAGCTTAGCTTCTTATCGATATCGATAAAATATACTAGGTAGAAAGCGAGGTTTCCACTAAACATTTTTTTTAATTAATTTTAGGTAAGTATCGAGTCCGTATTTATGTCCAATGTTGATGAGGAGATATTTGGTACTAATACAAGATTGGACTTAAATGCGGACCCGAAATAAGATAAAAAACGGTTTCTGATAATTCAAATAAAATTTTATTACTGAAATGAAATTTTTTTCTTGTCTCTTGATTCTTCAGCCAACAGCTGTTGTCCTGCTGTACACGAGTCTGGAAATAATTGAAACATAAAAATATAATAAAAACTATTTTACATACTCAGCGCACGAAATTAATTATATGACGTATCAATATTACAGAGATTATGTTTCAAAATCCTGCAAAATTCATCTATTCCGATCCTTGCTCATTTATGTAGGCACACCATTCAAATATGTAAAACTTTGTGCCCCTACTCTTGCACGCAACATTTTTTTTTTTTCAATGATAAACATTAACGTAGTTATCGATATGTGGATATTACAGTTGCAGTACATCACTAGCACACTCAATTATCAATTTAAATGAGATAAATGTTAATTTTATTTGTTCTTAGCGTGCTCCACTTACATATGGCTGCAAAGTATCATAATTAAGTGCTTACATGGGCTTCATCTAAGGGAAATCTCGCCATAAACATCCTTTTTTCAAGGTTCGAATGACTTGCTCGATTTTCACCAATTTCACTGGTAATAAACCGTCTTTTTGGCATTTTGAATTAAATGTACAACTCTGATCACCTGTCACTAGTTTTCGTGAGAAAGTTTACTCTAAACAATTTTAAATTTACAATGAAATAAGCATTTACATTCAAAATACGCGGTGCAAAATTAAGTTTTAAGTCCATAGAAAAATTTTTTGTTCCTAGTTTCGCCAGACTGGTTAGGTTAGGTTAGAAGGTTAAGGCGGGAGCAAAGCTCCCGCCTTAGCCAGAAAACTTTAGTGTAACAGTACTTTTAGTATTTTTAAAGACTCTTTTTTTAATAATGCGAAGGTTATAATTTGGAAAAGTGAGTGAATTCTTAAATTTATACATGTTGTCAAACACAAAATGGCGGATTTATTTAGTGAAAATAACAAGTTTTAAATTTATTTATTTTTTATTAAAAGTAAGTGTTTGCCTTGGTTTTCACGTATGTAATATCTAATTATTAACATTTCTCTATCGATTAAAATTTTTTTCTAGCTTGAAAAACGAGACGTACTGTTCGGAATATTTACCATAATAATCGTTAAAGAACCCTAAATAAACTATCACTTTATGATGCAACACGAACGTCTGCGTATAAATCATAATATCATAGTTCAGTATATTTGTTTTATCTATGACATAAATTCAAAAATTATACTTTTACTGAAAAATAACGATCATCAAAACAAGATTTTTCACATGTTTTTTAGTTTTGACCAAACGTTTAAACGTAGTGATTACATTCTCTTTTTTTTGACTGTTTTTTAGGCATGGACTAAAAATACCGATATTTTTTCCAACGATTATCGATATGTACTGTCGATATTTTTATCGCGATATACCGATATTTGATATTTTTATTAGACTATCGAATTCACTTCGCTACTAAAGGTACTAGATACATTTTGCGCGTTCCTCGCACATCGTTAAGTTTAAAAAATCTTTTTAATTAGGTATTTTTTTCATCTTTTTTACGAATTTTGAATGGTTTCTAAATAAATGTGTATGAATAATATAGCAATCGATATATCGATATATTTCGCTTGATAATTACCGATACTTTTTAAAATGTCGATACGATAAACAAAGATTTATTTTTTTACCAACCCATCCCTACTCTTTTGTGTAAAAAAATTACAAATATGACAGTTAGGGTTCGATTTACAGTCTGCTATGAAGTTCCGTATTTTTTAAACAAAAAATGTACGTAACACAACGTGGCTCGTTAGCTCGGCGGTTATAGCATCCAAATAAACAATAACAAACTGTAGGTATGATGTAAAAGATAGTACAAAAGGATAGTTAGTTTTTTTTTTTTTTTTGGCTGGATGAGCCACTGTTGGCCTTAGGGGCCTTTACAGTTTCGACGGGCTTGAGGTGGCTTGGCGCACGAGGCGCCTAGCTTGAATCTCGGCGGGGGATAGTTAATGTCAGATGAAGCTTTTATAGTCTCGGGATTGAACGCAAAAACATCAGTTGTGTAAAAAAAAAATATTGTACAGTTTATAATTTTGATTTTAACAGACATTAATTGTCTCCTCTTCCAAGTTTATCAATTCTTCAATATTAGTTTCATCCTTGGAATTTAATCTTATTAACACATTCTCGGTAAGAATTAACTCAGTAAAATTCCCACTTATGTTACCATCTTTAAGAGCGTCATAACTCAATGAAATGACATCTATGGATTATGTTTATTTCCTTATCTTAGTTTAGGAAATAATAAATTCGTCTTATTATGAGACAACTATGAACACTAGCCAAGTGGGTCTACAAGCTAAAATGGCAAAGTTATCGAGTGGAGACCGTGTGTTGGAAAACGCAGTGTGGGGTGGCCACCCGCGAGATGGACCGACGACCTGTCCAAAGTCGCGGGAATTCGCTAAATACAGGCCGCTTCAAACCGATTGAAGTGCAAATCCCTAGAGCAGGCCTATGTACAACAGTGGACGCCTACAGGCTGATGATGAAGACCATTACCCAACCCATCTATACATATAATAAAAATGTAACCGATTGTTGTCTGTACATGGAAGATATTTGAGAAAAATTATTATTGGGAGGCTTTATCAGTATTAAATTTCTTGTCTGTTTATCTGTGCGTTCGTGCGCGCTAATCTCAGAAACGGCTTAACCGATTTGAGTGCACCTTTCAATAATGCGTTGCAGTAAACTTTACTTAACATTTAGTGTTAGTTTTATTTAAATCATTTCAACAACCACTTGACCGATTTCTATAAAATTTAAATGGGATCACGAAGGAAGTACAACCTTTGAAAAAAACAGAATTTTCCAAATCGGTTCAAGCGTCTTCGAGTAATCGGTGAACATACATTAAAAAAAATCGGTCAAGTGCGAGTCGTACTCGCGCGCGAGGGGTCCATAGGTACTTTTTAAGCACTATATAAAATATAGTACATGCGGAAGGAGCCGCGGGCGAAAAGCTAGTAGCGCAATATGCAACTTTTTCACCTACAGTTGTTAACGCAACTCTTGGAATTTGACAAACGCATCTAGTACCTATGTTCGGCCATGCCCGCAGGGGAAAGTCAATGGCGAATCGCTTTATTTAGCCGAAAATTCACTTCTCAACAAGCTTAGTGGCGAGCCTTTTACAGGGAGTTACTGGCAGCATATGAGAAGAGTATACAGCACATTTGTCTTATGCTGAAAGTGCAAAACACAACCATTTTTACAGAAAGCTTTCACAAATTTTATCAGAAGCCGCTATTATACCTATTCGTATATAACTATCTTTCATCAGTCAGTTTACCACAGACATCTAATTTACAAATGGTGTAGGTAGTATTATATTAAATTAAAGTAACTTTAGTTCATGCCATTAATATTTTGCATGCTATTTATAAATGAGCTTAACGTGTAGTTCCATATTAATGACTTGGAACACCTCTATACCATGTTGTACTTTAGATATGGATAGTATAATGCACGAAGCATGAAATTGTAGTATAAATACCATAGTTATAATACAAAATGCAAAACTGCATCCGCCAAAGAGAATGTAATCACTACCTAGGCATCCGTGACAATACGAGTCATAGACAACAGTTTTTTTCCGTTTTTACGGCTTGCAATCAGTTTGAATAAAAATATAATTTTTGATTCGATTTCGATATTTAATTTTTATATCGATATATGGGATCAAAATATACCGGCCAAAAATATCGATATACTAAAAAAAATATCGATATATGGATATTTTTTCGACATCCGTAAGTCCTTAACTGACAGTGACAAACTGACAATACAATTATCGATAGTATCGATTCGATACTAAATTCGATACTTATACTAATCATAATATTTTTAAATTATATTTATGTTATGAATGTTAAGCTTTAATTTAACTAGTGCCATAAGCCATATTTTAACCAAATAAAACTGAAATAATAATAGTCTATTTTATGGCCAGACCCAGTAATATAATTCTATCAAGTAATCTGCTTTGTTTACAGTATTTTGCCTGCATTATTGATTGTTATTATAAATTGATATAATATATTTTGTGTGGTAAGTTTAAAGTTATAATTTTGTATTATATTGTCAATAGTTATAGCGTTTAATATATGTTGTATTTGTATTTAGAATAATATTCACTTACAATCGTGACAACAATCTTATTAAATGCATTTTATTAAATATTTAATGTATAGGCGAGGTGTCAGCTGAGTAAGCCTATCATTTTGTGGTAAGCGATCATTCCGGTCCAAATACAATGAATGCATAAATTATGTTATGTGTTATGTATGTGAGTACAATATTTGGTGTTGCTTTAGTACGGTAGTACGCTTGGGGAGTGAGGGGAGAGGAGAAGTGGTGAAGCCCCCTGTAAAGGGGGAGGGAGGGTGCGGAAATATATAGTTTTTGAAATATATAAAAAAACTATTCTAAAATAATATGCAAATGTTACTATGGCTATATACAATCATAGCTCCGCTACCGACTTGAATTTAACCATTGAAAGAAATTTACCTCTGTTATATTTTCTTTTTCAGTGTTCTCTTTTTTTATAGGCAAAGATTCACCGTTAACAGCCAATATTAATTTTTTGGTCTGAAATAACATATTAAAAAGGAATATAACCATTCTCTTTCTAATGATTTAGAATGTTATTATGTAAATCTCTTGAGCCGTAAGCTGAAACAATAATATTCTCTATGATTCCTAGTAGTTAACCTATAAAAATTAAAAATTAATTTCTTGAAAACTATAAGTTTTCCGCAGAAAATTCTACTAGTATTTACTTCAATGGTCTATTTACTAGATAAGTAAATAGACCATTGAAGTCTAAAAGGTTAAAATTAAAATTATAACGAAAATTGTGCTACCGTATACTAAATCAAAGCCGAATATTTTTAATTTAAATTACATACTTTTTTTATATTTAATTTCATTATAACAACATATACTCTAAGCTGATAGCTACCCTTCTTTAATTGGACAGATGAATAAATGTTTATTATTGTTAAAAAAAAATTATCTATGAAAGATGGAAAAATAATATGGACAATGTATAATCATTGACAACTTTTAAATAAAGCCTTATTCATATTTTTTGTTTTTTTTTATTATTTTTATTATAAACATTACAGCAGGTCATGGTACAGATAACTGAATTTTTTCCAATACCAATATATATCTATACCAATTTCCAGAACATCAGAAACATCATGAATTTTTTAAACAAATTAATTGTTACTAAGAAATATTTATTCTCATAGATAAAAAAATAATTTAGTGTTAATGATTATCCACTTTTCACTTTAAATCTTCCTGTTGTATGTAATGTTAATGACTCACTTCATTTTTTTTTTGATTGAATTTCTCAACCCCCATAATGATTAGCTTTTTGATTTTAAATTAATACTCTCAATTGCACCAAGGAAATGGTTAATCGCAATCTTAAGTGATAATTTACCACATAGTTATTACTAAAAGGAATATAACAAGTAAAGTTTTAAATAAAACGCCAACATAGGAGTTGTGCAATGATATCAACTATTGTTCAGTCAATATGCATTGATATAGTGGACATTTTTTTTTTTTTAATTTTGTTTCATGGAATATGCTTGAATGGGCTGGCTCATCTGTGGAAGTACCACAGCCTCTCTGAATACTTCACGTTCGGGCGTTTTCGCGTTCCGTCTGTTGAGTAATCAAGCCGGGACCGACTTTTTAAAAGAAAGGCAATGCATTCATAGGCCTTCAGGTATTGCAAATGTCCACGGGCAGTTAACTTGAACTGCTTACTCACCTGAGAAATTTTTCAAAATAAAATACGAAATCTGATAGATCATTTTAAAGAATATTATTTTAATATTATGGTTGGACTATTAAAATTTCGCATTGTTACTTATTACTTAGAAAAATAACACTTTTTTTGCTTGTTAAAGGACTTACAAGCTTGAAAATCTTAACAAATGTTTGTTCGGGTTCATAATAACTATTCTGTTTTTAAGTTTTTTATGGTCTAAGCTCTATTTTTGATCCCTAATGAGACCAGACCTATTGTTGGTTTTAGGTCATAATGTATACAACACCGGTAGGATTAGACAGGTTCTTAAGAGAACGAGGTCTTCTTGGAGAAATCTATGATGCAATGAAAAGTGACGATTATTCAGACGTCGTAATGGCCGCTTACAAAATACTAAATAATAACTTACCACAAATGAAAAGTGAAAAAAAATCTGAAGTGAAGTCCAATGAATATCGCAACATAGGGAACGAAGCGTTTAAAGCAGGAAATGGGAAGAAAGCAGTGGAACTGTACAATAGAGCATTAATGTACGCCCCGAACAAATCAAGATCCATGCTATTAGCATACAGCAACAGATCTGCAGTTCTGTACAAAAACGAGTATTATATCGAATGTTTAGTCGACATCGATACGTGTTTCCGGCTCGGTTGCCCGCCAGATATTGTCGAAAAGTTAAATAACAGGAAGCAGTTGGCATCTCAATATATCACCTCGGCGAAGGTCATTATAGATAACCTCCTAGGGATCTGTTCGAAATTCTTTCAAATAGGGAACCGCAACGCCGAGGTGCCTTGTGCTAGCGCCGATGTCGACGTTGTCGTGACGGACGGTGTGCCAAAGATAACAGCGGCGAATGACATAAAGATCGGGACAGTCTTGGCCGTGGAGACCTCATTCGTCGCATGCAACGACGAAACCAATATTGTACACGCGTGCCATTACTGCCACAACATGTCGTTCAACCTGATACCGTGCGACGGCTGTTGTTTCGTACTCTTCTGCGGCGAGCGCTGCAAGCAGACCTGCATGAGGGAGTACCACTCCATCGAGTGTCAAATCATGGAGTTTAGCAAGGCATCTATTTACAGCCCTATGGGCAAACTGACGTTTAGGGGTGCGCTGAAATTCGTTGGGCTGTGCGACACGTGGAAGGAGGTGATCGAGGAGGCGCAATGCATAGGCAAGAAGCGGAGGCTCCGCAGCACTGCGACGGAAATGTTCGACGTCGGCAACAAGCTGAGCATCCTAAATTACGAAGAGGATCACGTCTTTGTGTATGGGTCCATGTTCTTGTCATGTTTCACCTGTGCATCCGTAATTCACACCCTCGAGGGGCTGCCATCGTATTTTCCCCGGCCGGTCCGCGAGAGGGCGCTCGCTAAGAGGGCGCTCGCTAGGATTTTGATGTACCTCACGTTATTCGCAGTGCCCACGGAGGTCACACTCACCTTGTGGAACAAGAAGGTTGATCTGACGCTCACGCAGTCGATACCGAACCACGGTTGGTACCCGTTCATCGGTAAGCTGCGAAACTCCTGCACGCCCAATGCCCTCATCATGCACCTCAATAATAGAGCTGTGCTGATGGCATTGCAGCCAATCAAAAAAGGATCTGAGTTGACCGTTTCCCACATGTGAGTATAATTAAACGGCTGTCCGATAAGGCTCTTTGTCTTAAGTGGGAAAAAAAATGTTTTGTGAACTGTTAATATCTCATAACTGATCCTATTGGAGATTAATTAACAGATCATCCAAAAATGGAATGTTAAATAATTTTTCTCAGGATCAGTTTTACAGCGGTGAAACCAGTTATTTTTTTTTTAATATAAAATCCCAATGTTGTGCTCATTTGGTATTATGACAGCCTGTACTTGATTATTAACTATATTCATTTATTTCAGGGGTCATTACTTAGACAAACAACTTACACCCTACCAGAAAAACTACTTATCATTCAGGTTATTCGGCAGAGTCTGTGGGTGCTACATTTGCTCTGGTGAATGGAAGACGAAAACTAAAGATTGTGTTTTAACCGAAACACAACTTGCCGATTACAAAGAATACATACTTAAATATGACAAGGGTCTATGCCTGATGACAATGTCGACTGCATTCCCCAAACTATGCGAGGCAATGACTTCCCTGAACGATGTGCCCTTTTCAACGGAGTACATGAAACTGTACACTGAATTTCGCAAGTACATTATGAGCGTGGAACAGTGTGTTACTGCTAATTTAGTTTTTGGCGCCCCCATATAATCTGGCTATTTATAGTTACCAGGATGTTTTTGCATTTAACTTTTTACAAGGCGTTGTTTTTATTGTGTAAGTTCAAAATATCGCCTGTGGTTGCCACATTTCTTCTGGCGAATGAAAGACGGAAACTAAATATTGGGTTTTAACCGAAAGACAACTCGCCGATTACAAAGCGTATAAATTGCAATTTGACAAAGTTATAAAACTGATGACAGTGTCGTGTATATTCTATAATCCATTCGAAGCGATGATTTCGTGATGCGTTGTTTTTATTTTATGAAGCGTTAAAATATCGCTTAGTGCTCCAATTTTCTCGTAATGGTCTAATTTCAAAATTTTTAATATCCCGTTCCCGTGATGTCGTGAGATGCCAAAACAAACACTTTATTTCTAAGAATTATAGTTTAATATTAGATTAACAAACATAAAACTCAACATAATATTTGAAGATATGTGATTATTTATTCATGATATGTACGTATGTTATGAAGAGGTCAAATCTTAACCAAATTATAAAAAATCTTAACCAAAGTAACCATAATTTATTTATGCTTTATTGCTTACCTTAAGAAAACAAAGGTAACAAAGGGCGGACTTAATGTCCAAAGGCATTCTCCACCAGTCCACCCAGGATGTAGTGAAAGTTTATGTTTGGCGCAGCAAGGGATGTAAAAATTACAAAAATATAATAAAAAAGAAAATAAATTATGATACATAATTATAAATATAAGGAATATACAGGATGATTTTATAGACGACGGGCATATTAACAGAGCATATGCAGAATTTGATTCTTAATCTGAATCTGGTACGTACTTGTGATCTGATTTTTTTTTTCAAATGCTATTTTTAATTTTTTCAAACATTATGGAAACCTTAATAAATTCCTGCCTCAATACAATAATACTATTGACGAGCACTAAAACTTTTCGCTGAACGCATAATTACTAAACCGCTTATCAATAGGGTGACCACTCTTAACGGGATAAAACAGATTCAAACAATGTTTGAATTGATATATTTCTGGTTATTTCTTGGCAAAATAAAACATTAATATATTTTTTGAATTATGAAATGCTCAATTCACATTATGTCAAAGCATGTACTTCGCCTAAAATTCATCCTGTATAAAAAAAACTAACATTTTAGATTATACTAAGGTATAGATAAAAATATATGTTTATATATAATAGAAAAAATAGAAAGAAAAGGTACTTCTACATCTTATAATGGCAAGGATCAAATTAATGGTAGACTAATCTAATTGATGGTCAACAGATGTTCACTAACCAGTCTTTTGAAAGTGGTGATATTTGTTGCATTTCTTATGTTATCGGGTAAGAAGTTCCAGAGATGTGTAGCTTTAGATAGTGAAGGAATTTCCACAGAACCCGGTTAAATACGTTGGCGTACAAAGTTTATTGTTATAAGTTGAAAGAAGTATCGTATTATAAGATGCAGAGAGATAAATAAACTTATTTTTGAGATAAGTAGGGGAAGACCGCTTGTTTAAGATGGTGAAAAGCATAAACAGAATTCTGTAATGCCGTCTTTGTCGAATTGTGAGCCAATTGAGCTGAGAGCGATACTGGGATATATGATCATACTTTCGTAGACCGAAAATGTACCTGTTACAATTATTAACGAGACGATCCAGTTGGTTTAAAACATCTTCGGACAAGTCCGGGTAGCACACATCTGCATAATCGATAATGGGTAATATCAGCGTTTGGACAAGCAAATTTTTTGTTTTAAAAAATAAGGAATTTTTTTAAGCGATATAAAGATCGTAAAGTGGCAACAATCATCTCTTGTTCGTATTTTTGCATACTTACATTTACATAAAAATCAACAGGATCTCTTATTAATATATTGTATAATTTTATGTAATGTAGAATACCTATTATACCTAGGATAATGTTTTAGTCATTTTGATGGAAATTGTCTTTCCTCAACAATAAAAATATATGGCGCATATGACTCATTTATATTTATTCCCTATGTACCTTCGTCGATTATCAAACTGTTTTCTCACTAGTATCAATCATAGATGGAGTGAAGACCTGTGCAAATGTGCGGGAAGTCGATGGATGCAGGTGGCTCAGGATCGTGCTTCGTGGCAGTCTGTGGGGGAGGCCTATGTTCGACATTGGACTCAAACAGGCTGAAATGATGATGATGATGATCAATCATAGAATTGTTTGAATTTAGATGTATTACAATTTACAATACAATATGCTCCTTCTGCCATTACCTCCACCCTGAACATTGTAATCTCATACTCACACTTACCATTAAATGATATCTTATACCTTCAAACGAGCAATTTTTGTATATATATATATATAGAGGTGAAAACTCGATCTACCTAGGTTTCATTTTTAGAAAATGTCCTTTTATCCCTGTTCTGGTTTGTGGATCGCCAGGGAATGAAAAATATCATATGAATATGACGGTAAATTTCGCCGAAAACAAAAATGTTATAATCGGGCGGCCCCAAAACAGAAGACTGCGGTACGTGTCACCATCATTTACACACTTATTTTTTTTTTTGCTTTTTTTCTATACCAGATCATTGCTTTCTTTATATTTGTTATATTATTTTTTATTTCCAAAATACACGATTTACCAAAAAAAAAAACGGTCGGTCGGTCCTGCAGGTACTCCAATGCTTAATAGGCCCATGAGGCCTAGGTAAAAAATGCTATATTATTATTTTTCTGGTGGTATTTATTCATTCATTGGGTCGTAAATACAAATCATAGCCATTCAGTAACAAAAGAGTATTCACACGTTATATAAAAAATACGGAATTTAGAATAAAACAAAATAATTAGAGAAAATTATCGGTTTTTTATTATTCAGTTAGAAAATAGAGGTCTGACGTCTTAATTATTAAAAGAGACAATACCAAAGTGAAACTGATTTTGTTATCGATTGTAGAAAAGGTTGGCGATATGAGACACCTTTTAGCAATTATAATAATTCATTTGTTGGCAAAATGAAGTTATTAACATGAAAAATTTTAAAAGGTGACAAACTGAGAAAGTTGGCAGCATGGTAACTACTAGTATGAATACAAGAAAAATTACCCAAAAGGGGAATGATTGTACTAACTCATCGAAAGGTAGGCAAACTGAGAAAGTTGGCAAAGCGTCCGCAGATCTTCTATGCAACCGACGTTGTTAATCATGGCGTGGGTCTAAGTAAAACTATAATAAAAAAAATCGTGTCCTTTCACTCACAATCAATGTGATCGAAATCACGCTCAAAACTATCGTTTTATTAAAATAATTAATTAATGGTGATTAAAATCAACACCTGGCGTGTTTTTGCGATGTGTGTTGATGGTGATGGAGTTCTAAGCTAATGCGTATTTAAATTTGCTCGATGGTGGAATGAAGATTGAAGGGTAGAAAATTCGACGCAGTTATTTGGCTTAAGGATGCCAATGACATGCGCTTTCTTTCATGTATCGTGGAAGCTTTAATATTGACACTAAAGGCCCATTTACACGGTGCCAGTTTCTTGCCTGTTGTATACAATTAAATTGAAGCAATAAATGAGTTGCATGGTCTAAACAACAAATGGTCTTAACAATTATTGCGCGCAATTTATTGCATTCAATTATTGCTCTTGTATGTACAAGAAAATGGTATCGTGTAAATGGGCCTTAACACATTATTAGAGAAAGCGTCGGTGCTGGGTCTTGGTAAAACCATGTGTGTCGTCTTTTATTAGTGACTAGTTTTTCGCCCGCTAATACATGCGGGCGAAAAACTAACAACATTTATATCGTGCTTAAAAATTACCTACGGAACTCTTCGTGCGCGAGTTCACTCGCACTTGGCCGATTTTTTAGCTTTATAAAAAACTTACAATCATCATCATTTTACAGACCATAATATGTAGCTAACTATAGTTTCATCCAATTTCCAAATATTCAATGTGGTTATTTAAGTTGATATTACTTTCTATTTATGAACCGATTTAAATAAATATAACACTAAATGTTAAGTGAAGCTTACTACAATGCATTAATGAAAAATTCACTCAAATCGGTTAAGCCGTTTTTTTTAAAAATAATTCAATACTCTTATCTTACTTATATAATAAGTTTTTTTTAATTCAAACACCACTTCCAAAGTGCCCAAATCCTTCACTTCCTGCCCATTATAGACCAATTTGTATCCTGCCCTTCCTTTCCAAGGTACTTGAGTCCTTGCGTCCTTAAACAACTTTCTGATTTTGTTTTTACTAATAACCTTATTAGTCCACTGTAATCTGGATTTAGGCCAGGACATAGTACCACCACCGCACTGCTAAAAGTGACTGGCGATATAAGGGCAGCCATGGATAATACCAAAATCACAGTCATGATCTTAATTAACTTTTCAAACGTAAAGGCGTTTACCGTCAGTCACGACATTCTTTTAGCCATCCTTTCCCACATTATGGTTTCTGATGAAGTGCTGGAATGGTTCACATTCTATCTTCGACAGACAATTAATGTCGGTGATTTGTCATCAAACTGGCTTAATTTGACGACTGGTGTTCCTCAAGGCGGAATTCTATCTCCTCTTTTATTCTCTGTTTTCATAAATCTTATTACTCTTCATCTTCAGTGTGCGTACCATCTTTATGCTGACGATTTACAACTGTATGCTCATGCAACCTGTGACAGCTTATCCGTTGTGATCAATAACATCAACCGAGACCTAGATACTATAAAAAAGTGGTCTGACAGATTCGGATTGACTGTCAATCCTTCGAAATGTCAGGCAACTCTTGTAGGGAGTTGTCGTATTATAAATCAAGTACATTCAGGCAATCTTCCACCAATAATATTCAACAACTCTACGATCCCCATTAGCCAGAATGTGAAAAACCTTGGTTTGCTTATCGATATGACCCTGAGCTGGAAAGACCAAATCGCCAGTGTCAGTCAGAGGGTCACAAGTGTTCTACGTTGCCTACACAGACTTAAACATTTTTTACCA